AAAAAAAAAAAAAAAAAAGATAAACAGATGAGGACGTCCCTGGCTCATGAAGGTGGCTATGGCCCTACCTCACTGTCTTCTTAGTCTTGCCTCAGTGTCTCGCTGGGGAAAGAAAGACAGACCCGAGTGTCAGGTTAGGCCTGCTTCCCTGGAGAAACTACCCTGCCCTTGTCAGTCCCTCAAAGGACTCAGCCTTTGCTACCGAAGGACTCTTCAGAAATCCTCCCATCCTCCCTACAGAGAGGGTGGTTGGTCCCTGCTGGGTACGACTACCAAAGCCTGGGCAAAATGTTTTTACCACGCACTGAAAGGAATCAGATGCTTCTGGGTGCAGTGTGCCCCGCGGAGACTCATGCTGTTAAGGTGTAGCACAGAAGGGACCTAAGATACCCAAAGAGCAGAGGGAAGTGACCTGGGCTGAGAGATGGCATTCTGCCCCTGTGGCCTGTGTTCTGTGTTACTCAGTGTGTGAAGTGTTACTCAATGGGGAATGAAGCTCCAGTGTGTGCTCTGATTCTCATCTCAGAACTCAAGCAGAAACCCCCTGGAAAACATCACTGCAGTTTTCATGGAATTTCAGTATCAAAACCTCTTGCCACATATATATATATATAAACCTAGCCGGGTGGTGGTGGTGGTGCACGCCTTTAATCCCAGCACTCAGGAGGCAGAGCCAGGTGGATCTCTGTGAGTTCGAGGCCAGCCTGGTCTACAGAGTGAGATCCAGGACAGGCACCAAAACTACACAGAGAAACCCTGTCTCGAAAGAAAAAAAAAACTTTACTAAATGATTTAAATTATAAACATATTAGTTTAGCACAAACAGATTGGGCCAAATGACATTAAAGAGAATGGTTTGCAGTAACAAAATAGTTTGGGGGATGCACTTTTTTCTTGAGTGTTCTTTTAGCCTTTCATCCTGACTAAAAAGCTGCAGGATCAATGGTACACGGCATCGCTCACCAAGCACTGTAATGCGTCGATGTGTTGTGGATTATTATTCCTTCCAGTCCATGTTGGGGAGGAAGTAAGTAGTGGAAGAGAACCCCTACTAGTCCTCTTCAAAAGCTTCCTGAAGCAAACATTCACGTCACTTTCTCACTCCTTCAAAATGGGACCTGTCAGGCTCTGTGATCCCCTCCTCTTCGGTATCCTGCACAACACACTTCCATCATTTCCACAGTCACACTGAGTCAGAGGCTTCCCAACATGTCTCACTTTGGTGTTTTTCCCCCTTGAAGACAGGGATCGATTCGGGACAGACCGAACAATGTAAACCTGGGACCTGGACATTTGGCAAACTTTCCTAATGATAGCCACGTTCCCCCTCAGAGCCCTGGGTAATGAATGGTGTGGCAGACGCTTGCGTCCCTGGAGAACAGATCCTCACTGACCAAGAGTGGCAGCTGACATGGATGGTCAGCAGTTCCTACACTGCTCTTTGCAAGCTTCTGGCCTTCGTTAAACTATTAGAAAAATGGAGGTTTGTTTATGTGGTCATCGTATCCATCCCCAAAGACTCTGAGCCTAACGGACAATAGAGGATCCTTCCCCCACATTTTCCACTGAAAGATAAAACATAAATCCATTCAGCCTCCTTCCCAGAACCAAAGCCCGGCTTGTGCCCATCCAGCTGCCTTCCAAACACCATCTGCCCGCGACGGTCTTTGCTTTCAGGGGCCTGGAGTTTTTTGGCTCAGGAACAAGACACATTTATTTCCAATGGATCCACACTGCCACCCAGTGGACAGATAGTTCAGCCGGCTGAGGCCTAAGCCACCTCTCAGTTTCACAGCCAGGATTTAAATAGGAACCCAGTGGTTTCAGAGGTTTGGGGGTGAGTGTTCATTTCCCCTGCCAGGAACCACGCCAACTTCCGCTGGGAAGCCTTGGGTGGAGATGGCACAGGCGAATGCCACTTAACCAAGATGGGTATTTCTGGACTGATCTGTTCTGGTTTTCTCCCCATCAGTAAAGTCATAGGAAACCCAGGCTGCAGATCAACCAGTCTCCTCTGCCAAGACTCCCAGGATCTGAAAGGCAGACAGGAGCTGGGTAGATCATCGGCGACAGACAGGTGTATGGGGAGACACCTCCTACCACACAGAACGACTACTCACTGTTTACTGTGACAGCAGTCTGTATTGTGAAAACTGAAAATATATTTTCGGATTAGATCTGAGAAAAATAATTCACTTTCCGACAGCGAGATCAACAGTTGAACTTCTCTGTTTTACATGAGAGGATGGCAGGATCAAACTTCGGGCCATCTCATTTGTACCGAGTCCCTTCCTCCTGTCTAACTGTCATTTGGCACATGGAGCAATTAGCTTGCTTTCCACGCAAGGCTGAGAAGCTCTGCGCCTTCCAGCCACTCCTCCCAGAGGCTGGCACTCAACCACACACAGCACGCACGTTTTCTGTCGCTTTGTGCTTCTTTTGAGTATCCAGGTAGCAGGGCTGGGATGTGACCTCACGGGAGCTCTTTATTAAAAGGGCTCTCTGTGTGGGAGAGGACCTGGATTTGAATTCGGATCCTGTCACTGGCTAGTTCCTGGACCTTGGATGAATTGCTTAATCTGAGTATCTATTTCTACCTCTTTCCACGAGAAACAACATCAGGATTGCAGCTACCCCTCTGAGTTGCTGTAAAGGGTCTCCTCCCTCGCTCCCTTCCTCCCTCCCTTCCTCCCTCCCTTCCTTCCTTCCTTCCTTCCTTCCTTCCTTCCTTCCTCCCTCTCTCCCTTCCTCCCTCTCTCCCTCCCTTCCTTCCTCCCTCCCTCCCTCCCTCCCTCTCTTCCTTCCTTCCTTGGGCACCGTCTTGCTGACATAACACAAACTGACCTTTAACTTGTGGTAATCCTGAGAGCCTGGATTACAGACACACACTGCCATGCTCCACTTACTTGGAATATTTAGATAATAAAACACACAGAAACTACTTAGCATGGTGTCTGGATATAGAGTAAAACTCATGATTATTGATAGTCACAATGGTTCATCTTTTTTGTAGAATTGACTGGATTTAGAATTGTCTCTGAGCCAATGGGCATGTCAGTGAGGGCATTTCTGAAGAGTAACTGAAGGGGCAAGACGCACCTTGAATGTGGGTGGTACCATTCTATGGATGAAAAGGGAAAGCAGAGAAAGGAGCCAAGTAGCAACATTTCTCTCTCTCTGCTTCTTAACTGACAGCTGCCTTGAGATCTCCCTGCCTTACCCTCTCCGCCATGATAGACAAGATCCCCAGACTGTGAGCCAGAGCAAAGCTTCCCTAAGTTGCTCTTGACACAACACTGAGAAAAATGAGTAACACAATGGCAGTCCTCTGCTGTGGATATCGCTCTGTATGCTGTGAATGTGTTGCTCTGATTGGTTAATATATAAAATGCTGATTGGCCAGTAGCCAGGCAGGAAGTATAGGCGGGACAAGCAGAGAGGAGAATTCTGGGAAGAGAAAGGCTGAGTCAGGAGTCACCAGCCAGACACAGAGGAAGCAAGATGTGAAGGCAGAACTGAGAAAAGGTACCAAGACACATGGCTAAACATAAATAAGAATTATGGGTTAATTTAAATGTAAGAGCTAGTCAATAGTTAACCTGAGCTAATGGCCCGAGCCATTTTAATTAATATAAGCCTCTGTGTGTTTACTTGGGTCCAAGCAGCCGCAGGGCCATGGGAGTCCGGCAGGACCAGGAAAACTTCTGCTACAGTCCTTCTCCTCCTTCTCCTCTTCCTCCTCCTCCTCCTCCCTTCCTTCCTCCTCCTCCTCTTCCTCCTTCTTCATCTTTGAGACAGGGTATCATTGTGTAGATCAGGATAGCTTCAAACAGAGATCTGCCTGTTTCTGTCTCCTAAGTGCTAGGATTAAAGGTGTGCACCACCACTACTGGCTCCTTAGTGTTTCTAAAACACAATTTTTCTAAAGTTATATTTCACTAGTTTGTATCTATTGACTAGAGATAAACTTGTGGGTTTGTCCATTTGCTTGCTGAAATCTAGAAGGGTAAAAGATCATCCAGGCTGTTGCTTCTCATTAAAATAATCTAGAGAGGACTTTTTTTTTTTAATGAAGAGGCTCCTTTTCATTTTCTTTTTCTTTTTTCTTTCTTTCTTTTTTTTTCAAGACAGGTTTTTTTCTGTGTAGCCCTGGCTATCTTGGAACTCACTCTGTAGACTAGGCTGATCTTGAACTCACCAAGATCCAACTGCCTCTGCCTCCATAGTGCTAGGATAAAAGGTGTGTGCCACCATGCCTTGTTTAGATGATTGCTAGAGAAGGCCAGCCTAACCCACAGTGACAGAAAGCCCAACAGTGGGATTAACATTTACTGTCCATGATATGCCTTCCAGGGGTTGACACAGGCTTAATTGCTTTGCTGAATGTTTCTAGCAATCCTATAAATTCATTATCCTTTTCTAAAAACACAAGATATTTATTTCATTTCTTTTCATTACACAAGAAATGTAATATATAGCATTCCCTTAGATAAAGCTATGAAAATGTGTTTAGCAACCACTTCTTTCTTTTGTAAGAGATGTGGAGTAATTTCCTGAGGTCACACAGGCAAGTAGTGGAACCCAGGTTTGAACTCAGTCTGCTTTCAGAGTTCATTCGTTACCTCATTTTGTCTCACTCATGCCGTTATTATTTTATATATCCTTATATAAATTTCTGTATCCTTATGTCCTCAGCTATCTTATTACGTAAGCTTGTTAAAGGTGAGAATTGACTTTAGTCACTTCAGGAATCTCCACATGACTTTAGTCATGTCAACTCATACGGGGGATGACTTGGCACCTCAGTTTTAAGAGGGTCTAATTTCTAACTTCATCTGAGTAGCACTACACTCCAGAAGGCCTATGCTCAGCGTTATTACAGACTCGAGCAAAACTATTTCTGCTTTCTCTTTAGCCTTCTATTGGTCCCGAATGATCTTTGAGTCAGGCAATCAACATAGCCAACAGGTGGGTCAGAGTCATGTGTCTCACACACATACCAAAAAAATTCCAGGGGTGAGATTGTGTCTTCGGACTAGGAGCGGGCGGCCAGGTTCCGTAAACTGAGACGCAGATGTGACATCGTATTTGAGCAACCGGAAGGAATCCAAATTACTCTACGGGAAAAGAAAAAGAGAGCTTGGGTTGGGGTTAGGTTGCTGTTTGTTCTGTTTGTTTGTTTTTGCTTTTTAGGTTTTTGTTTTGTTTGTTCTTGAGACAGGATCCTATTATGGCACCCCATCTAGCCTCAGACTCACTTTGTAGACCAGGTGGCCTTGAACTCACAAAGATCTACCTGCCTCCTGAGTTCTGGTATTAAGGCCTACACTGCTCCGCCATATTAAAACATAGCCAAAAGAATTTTGCTAAATTCCACAGCATTCTGGTCCTCAAACCCAAAGTTCTAGACTCAGCCTGCCCTGCGCCAGTAGATATACCAGGACGCTCACTGTGGATTGAAGGCCTGAACCGCCATACTTGGCAGTCTGTATGCGTTTACTTGTTCCTTATCATGCAGTCTTGAGTGCCCCTCTGTGTATGCAAGCAAAGGGGAAAGAGAAGCCCAGACAGCTGCCAACCATTCTCGAACCCGGGGCAAGAAACAAGAAATCCTCATGGGAAGCAAAGCTTTCCAGTTCCTCATTTAGAGGGATGATTTTTCCTACTGGGTTTCAGACAGGGTCCAGTAGGAAACAATGACACACTCCCCAGAAGCTGTTCAGGGCACACCGAGGGCAACACCCCAAAGACAACTCACCAGAAGCAGCGAGTACTTTGAGGCCCCAGGCCTTTGCAGGTTCAGCCTGCTCAAGGGCAAGCACTGTGCACTCTGAGTCACCCCCTAAGAACAGCTCTGGGGTTAGCATGGGGAGCCAAGCAGAAGAACGTGGACTGCATCCAGAGGGAAGTCTTAGAGCACTGGCTCTCAACCTGGGGGTCGCATGTCAGGTATCCTGCATATCAGATATTTGCATTACAGTTCCTAACAGTAGCAAATTTGCAGTTATGAAGTAGCAACAAGATAATTTTATGGTTGGGGGTCACCGCAACACAAGGAACTGTATTAAAGGGTTGTGTCGTTGGGAAAGTTGAGAACCACTGCCTTAGAGGGTAAGCAGGAGAATGGCATGGGTATGTCCGTGTGTTTAAAGAACACCCTGTAATAATAGGAAATATCAGAAGGACCAAGACCAGAAGCAGTAAAACTCTCAGAGATGACATGGGGGGGGGGTGACAAAGGCCTCAAATGGGAGGATACTGGCAGATGGAGAAAGATGGATTAGTGATGTCTGTCACAGACAGAATGGGAGGATATTGGCAGATGGATAGATTAGTGATGTCTGCCACAGACAACAGAGTGGGAAGACATTGGCAGATGGATAGTTTTTACTGTTCCTATCCTCTGGCAGAGGAAGTTATACCTTGTGGTTTTTTAAAGCATACAACGACCATCTAGAAAAAGATAAAACTAACTTATGCATACAAAGGAATAAGAATATGATTACCTGGGCTTGGCTAGTTTAGTAGATTATTTACTAGGAAGAAAAGAGAAAGAGAAGAGTTTTTCAGGCCTGAAATATTCTTCTATATCTTCATCTGAGTGGTAATATATAGGCACTGTACATACTCCAAATCCATAATACTATATACGTGTTTTAATCCATTTTGCGTTGCCATAACAAAATACCTGACATTAGGTAAAGTATGGCTAATTTTTTTAAGTTGTTTATTTGGCTCATGATTCTGGATGTTCTCTGAGGAAGGCTCTCTCCCTGACTGCTTTACAACATGATGGAGAAATATAAGGAAAAATGTCTGCATGCAGAAGGAACCAAATGCATGGCGTGGTCTACTTTTATAACAACTCCTTTTCATGAGAACTAACACGGTTGCGTTAGCCCTAGAAAACTCCAGAAGAAAAGTACTAATCTCTTCAAGGGGCTGTGCCCCTGGGATGCAATCATCTCCAACCAGACCCTTTCTCTTCAAGTTTCTGGTACTCTAGTTGGGAGAAAGCATACCCAAACCAGAGCTACGCCATGAAGATTTGTGACCTTTATTATACAAATGTACTGTAATGCCAAATACAAAGCAGGGAGCCAGAAGTCCTTCTGTAATCCTTTATGTGTCTGAGGGAGCCTGTTAGAATGAAACACAAGCAAACACATCCCACACTTTGTCCGTGTAACTCTCACCTGAATGCAAGGCATGTGTCTGGATTTGTTTACTTCCTTGTACACGTCAGTCACTTCTCCTATAGTCTTGTCCTCTTTCTTGGCCGAGAACACACAGACTACAATGATCTGGTCCACATGCGACAGCTGGTTGCTTATGAGGTTGTCATACTCCAGGTCTGTCACCTCGGGGATGATGTGACAGCTACATCTGCATACGTCCTCTTTCTCCCCACGCATGGTCTTCCTCAGGACCACAGGACAAGCCAGCTGGGAAGAAAACCACAAGTCCTTCCTCCCAGTGAGAAGAGGAAGCCTGGAAACAGAACGGTGGGGAGTCAGGTTAAAGGGTTAGAAGGGCAGAAGGAGAACCCCGAGTCATGGGTGGGGGTGCCTTGGTAAAGCATCAAGTCTAACGCTGGACTGCATTTGTCAACATGCTAAACAAACAAACAAATGTAAGCCAAACATTATATGCACGTAGTGGCCAATAGCACAGTACCAGGGTGTTGATTGCATTTTAACATGTGCAGGAAGAATGCATTTAAGGCTGGTCTGCAAGACACTTGCTTTATTCCCTTATAGTTAGAAACAGAGGGCAGACTCCTACACTAGGAAAAATGAGATTCTAAAAGGTCAGTACTTTGAACCAAACTCCACAAATACAAGTAATGGAGTTGGAACCTGAACTCGTGTGTCTGTTTCCCATTCTAGCCCTGCCATCTCAACGACTCCTGAAGACGCCATTCCTGTAGCATAGTTCTGAGTTAGTTATTTTGCCTATTAACAGACTGTGAGGATTTGATGAGAGTGACCCCAGAGGCTCATATATTTGAATTTGGATAGTCACCAGAGAGTGACTATTTTAGAAGAATTAGATGAATTAGGTATGGCCTTGTTGGAGATGGTGTGTCAATGGGGATAGGCTTTGAGGTTTCAAAAGGTCACACCAGCTCCCCCTGCCTGTTGTCTGTGGATAAGGATGTAAAGCTCTCACCTACTGCTCAAGCGCCATGCCTGTCTGCTCCCTGCCATGATAATCATGGGCTAACCTAAACTGAGCAAGCCCCCAATTAAATACTTTCTTCTACGAGTTACCTTGGTCATAGTGTCTCTTTACAGAAACAGAACAGTAAGACATGGACAATATAAGGCGTGTAACTTAACAGAGTGGAAGTCAGAAGGGTGAATTCCAGTCTGTCTGTCTCTGTCATTTGAAATGTAACTTGAGTCTTTCACTTCTTTGTACCTTGGTATTCCTATCTGTTTGTGGGAGAAAGTTCATGTTTCCACCAAACTCCCAGGAAAGTAATGAAGCATTATAGAAAACAACTCCATGAAGTTGGATTAGCTTTTTATGAGATGCTAAAATCTGCTTAAAATTCAGTATTTTAGTTACTAACAATTATAATTCCTAGTAGTGAGGAAAGCTAATCATTAAAGTATTCACCATCAGCTTCAGTTTCTTTGTTCTGAAGCCAACTATTGTGGACCTAATGTTTGTATCCCCTTAAAATGTGTATGTTGGAGCCGGGCGGTGGTGGCGCACGCCTTTAATCCCAGCACTCGGGAGGCAGAGGCAGGCAGATCTCTGTGAGTTCGAGGCCAGCCTGGACTACCAAGTGAGTTCCAGGAAAGGCGCAAAGCTACACAGAGAAACCCTGTCTCGAAAAACCAAAAAAAAAAATGTGTATGTTGGAGCTGGGGGTGTAGCTCAGTTGGTAGAATGCTTGCCTAGCATGCACGATCTTCTTGATCCAGCACCACATAAACCAAACATGGTGACACATACCTGTGAATCCTAGCACTCAGGGGGTGGAGGCGGGATAATGAGTTTGAGGCTAGCCTGGACTATATGAGGCCAGCCTGGGCTAATAAGACCCTGCCTCAGGTGGATCTCTGTGAGTTCGAGGCCAGCCTGGGCTACAGAGTGAGTTCCAGGAAAGGCGTAAAGCTACACAGAGAAACCCTGTCTCGAAAAACCAAAAATAATAATAAAAAAAAGACCTTGACTCAAAACAAAGCAATAAATTTATTTGTTGAAGTTCCAGCCCTCAATGTACCTGCACTAAGACAAGTTCTTTTCAGGAAGTAACTTAGGGTTAAATGAAGTCATAAGGGGACAAGCCTTACCTAGCAAGATTAATGCTCTTATGAGAAAAACCAGAGAGCTGTTACTCAGTTGCTCTCTACCTTTTTTTTGAAGGAGGGATGAGACAGGGTCTCTCTACATAGTCCTGGATATCCTAGAATTAACTAAGTAGATAAGGTTGACCTTGAACTCATAGAAGTCTGCCTGCCTCTGCCTCCCAAGCGTTGGGACTAAAGTCTACCTATTTTTTTTTTTGAGACAGGGTCTCTCATTGAATTTGGACCTCATGACTTCTGCTAGGCTGGCCAGCCAATGAGTTCCAGCCCTTGCCTAGACCCAGGTACCTGGCTTTGACATGGGTGCTGGGAATCCAAACTTAAGTTCTGAAGCTTTTGAGAAAGTCAGTAAACTGACTAATGTTGGGGAATATTATTTTAAGGTGTGTTACTTTTGTTTATGCTGCATTTGCTTAACTCTTTGAAGCTGTGTTACTGTGCCTGTCTAAAACACCTGATGGTCTAACGAAGAGCTGAACGGCCAACAGCAAGGTGGGAAAAAGGATGGGCAGGGCTGGCAGGCAGAGAGAATATACAGAAGGAGAAATCTGGAAGAAAGGAGGAGAAACAAAAGAGCAAGAGAACAAGGAAAGGAGGACCCCAGGGGCCAGCCACCCAGCTACACAGCAAGCCACGGAGTAAGAGTAAGATCTACAGAAGTAAGAGAACGGGAAAAGCCCAGAGGCAAAAGATAGATGGGATTATTTATTTATTTATTTATTTATTTATTTATTTATTTATTTATTTAAAAATTTATTTATTTATTATGTATATAGCATGTATGACTACAGGCCAGAAGAGGGCACCAGATCCCATTAAAGATGATTGTGAGCCACCATGTGGATGCTGGGAATTGAACTCAAGACCTCTGGAAGAGCAGTCAGTGCTCTTAACCTCTGAGCCATCTCTCCAGCCCAGATGGGATAATTTAAAGTTAAGGAAAGCTGGCTAGAAACAAGCCAAGCTAAGGCTAGACATTTATAATTAAGAATAAGCCTCCATGTGTGATTTATTGGGAGCTGGTTGGTGGGTCCCACAAGAGAGCAATAACAAACAACAGACTGAGCCAACTTCTCAGACTCTCTGGGTTACTATTACCAGACCTAGTTCTGAATATAAATCCTTGAGATAACTGGAGAAAAGATCAGTAGATAGGGAGGAGTTCTCTCTCTCTCTCTCTCTCTCTCTCTCTCTCTCTCTGGCATTAAAGGTGGTAGACACAGCGTTAATATTTGACATGTGTTTCTTGCTTAATTCTTACACAACCTCATGAAGTAGGTACTATTATTGCTCAAGTGCCAGGTTCTTGAAGGTTCCCTAGCTGGTACGGCTCTGCTATCAGCATTCTGCCCTACTGTCCCTCTACCAATCGTCCATCACATGTCACACACAGGATTTAGCAGGAAACTGAACCACAGCAAGAAAACCCTAAGAAGCAGCGGTAACACTTAAGACGGGCTTTCTCCAACACAGCCAATTTTAATTCACGGGTGAGTGAAGGCCTGCTGCTCTTTTATGTCAAGATTTAAAGCCTAAGATGGATCTACAAGTTTCGGCTACATTTTGTAAACATAAACGAAGGCCCCATCAATTATCAATGCCTTTGAGGTCTCACTGATACCTAGGCTACTGAGCCACAAAAACAAGTTGACCTTTAAGTGTGAAGTGTGTTTTTAACCTCCCTGGGGTAATTTTGATGTCTAAATGAATATCATGGAGCAGACTTGCATGGTGATGACTTGCTTCACCACTGCTGGCTTGAGATTTGACTGATCTTGCTTTTGCATACAGTTCAAGGCACTACATGAATACCGAATACTCACCCTGCTATAGGGACCCAACTTGACATGACTACAGCCATCTTGTAAAAAGTGATTTAATTATGTCTATGTGGGGGTGTGTGTGCACTTGAGTGTAGTGCCTGCAGACGCCACAGAAGTCAGGTCCCCCTGGAAATGGAGTTACAAGTGGTTGTGAGCTGTCCAGTGTGGATGCTGGGAACCAAACTTGAGTCTTCTGCGAGAATAGTGCATACTGGTAACCTCTGAGCTATCTTTCTAGCTCCTTACAATAACCATCATGATCATAACAGCTACAGTTTCCTGTTGGGTGACCCTGATGTGCAGTCTAAGTCCTACAGGGCAAACAAAGACATTAAGACAGTCATTTGCACAGTTCTGGCTGCCCACTGACTCCTGAATATTTCTTAACAGATTCTTGACATGCCAACACTTTTCAAGAAAGCTACTATGCATTCAAGTTGGCCTCAGCCCAACTTTGCTCACTGTGCTGGCTAATTTTATGTCAACTTGACACAAGCTAGAGTTAACTGAAAAGAGAGAACCTCAATTGAGAAAATGCCTCCATAATATCAGGCTATAGAGCATTTTCTTAATTAGTGATTGATGGGAGATGGCCCAGCCCATTGTAGGTGGTGCCATCCCTGGGCTGGTGGTCCTGGGTTCTATAAGAAAGCAGGCTGAGCAAGCCAGTAAGTAGCACCCCTCCATTGCCTCTGCATCAGCTCCTGCCTCCAGGTTCTGTTTGCGTTCCTGTCCTGCCTTCCTTTAATGATAGACTACAATGTGTAAGTGTAAGCCAAATAAACCCTTTCCTCCTCAACTTGCTTTTTGGTCATGGTGTTTTGTCATAGCAAAAGAAACCCTAACCAAGACACCCGCCATGTAACTGCCTTCCTCCTGCAATGGGGTGCAGAGATCCTTCTCCTGGCTATCATATGAGACACTGTTCTGTCCATAAGTCCCTGATAAACTACACTCTGCAATCATTGGCCTCCTCTTGGCCTCTTCCACCCAGGGTTGTTAGTTCTTGTATATCATAGCTTAGGTCTTTCTGAACCCGTGCTTATTATCTGTCTGTCTGTGGAATAATCCTGCTGTACACTGTGTGAATATATGTGGCTATGATTGGCTTAATAAACAATCTGACCGGGCAATAGCTGAACAGGATAGTTAGGCAGGAAAACCAAACTGAGAATGATGAGATGAGGAAGGGCAAAGCCAGAGGAGTTGTCAGCCAGATGCAGAACAAGTTGGACACACAAAATGGGATAGAGGTAAAAGCCCCAAGCCTCAGGGAAGCACACAGATAATAGAAATGAATTAAGTTGTAAGAGCTAGTTAGTAACAAGCCTGAGCTATCGGTCTAGCATTTATAATTTATATTAAGTCTCCAAGTCAGTTATTTGGGAAGCAGCTGCTGGTTATTTGGAAGCGGGCAGTCAGGACAGGAAGAACTCCTCTTACAGTCTTCCACACCCTAAGCTCAGCAGTACCACACTGCACAGCATCCCTCTGATTTGCCTGCATCATCCTATCAAGGGCCTTTGCTCATATACCCACTGTGCTGCTCTGTTAGCTGAGCCCCAGCTTCCCTGGCTCTAACGTGGGGCAAGGACCATAGCAAGGGCTTACTTACAGCTGAGCACAGGCAGGTCATGAACAGTACCTGAAATCCTGAATGGAATTGTGTTTAGCTCAGTCCTTGTGGAAGTGGAGTTCGGGGAATTGTAACTAACCCTGACGGCATCAGGATTCCACACTGTCCTCATTTCTCAGCTGAAATACTCACCACCACCTGAACTCAGGACTCTATGCAAATGTTCTCAAAACCATCCTTCTTTGCAGCTCAGCGTTAGGGGGAAGCAATGGTGGTCGCACTCAGTGTGGGTGTGTGCAAGGCCGTGGATGTTCAGTCCCCTAACCTCGGCATCACATATGTGTGTGTGTGTGTGTGTGTGTGTGTGTATATGTATGTGTGTGTGTACATATGTGCATATATGTATGTATGTATACACACACACATAGTTATTGTTTGATGAGAAATGCTCCCCATTGGCTTGTGCATTCGAACACTTGGTTCCCACCTGCAGTGTGTTTGAGGAGGTTATGGGACTTTTAGGAGGTAGAGTTGTTAGAGGAAATAGACCACTAGGGGTGGGCTTTGCATGTTTATAGCCTTGCCTCACGTCCTGTTAGTTCTGTGTTTAGATGAAATGTGATCAGTCAACTTCCTGCTCCTCCTGGTGTGCCTCACCTTCCCCACCATTATGGCTCTAGGCTGCTGGAATAGTACGCCAAAATGGACTCTCTTTCCTTAAGTTGCTTTTGGTCATAGTATTGTATCACAGCAAGAGAAAAATAACACAGACACAGATACACACACACACACACACACACACACACACACACACACGCACACACACGCACACACCCCGCACCCATGCACTTGCACATACACACATGCACACACACTTGCCTGCACACACACACATACACACACATGCACACATACGTGCACACATTCACACACATCCTCCCTTTCTAAAAAACTGTCCTTCCTCAGCGTATCTTTCCCATTCTAGCTATACTGCGCTGCTAACATGTCATTGCTATTCTTCTGTTTATTCACACTCCATACCATCTCTTCCTGAAGACTTGAAGCCTTTGGAGGATGTTGACCAAGTCTTTCCCTCATTGACTGTGCCTAACCACACACCTGTGGGTGACTGATAACAGCTGCAATAATTCACTGTGTGGTCAGCCATCTCATGGCACCATTTTATGTAGCAGCCTTAATGAGGTATGATGACAAGGCTTCAAATACTCAGCCTTTCAGCAAAGAAACTTCTCCTTGTAACAAAAGGAAGCCAGTACAGAAAACCATAAACAGTCAAAATATAGAAACAAGTGATCATATGGTACCCAGCCCCAGCTGGTCCATCTACGACAACTCCTGCACCCGAGGTTCAGACAGCATCACTGAAGAGGAGACAAGCCCCAACTGGTCCATCTACAACACAACTCCTGCACCTGAGGTTCAGACAGCATCACTAAAGAGGAGACAAGCCCCAACTGGTCCATCTACAACACAACTCCTGCACCTGAGGTTCAGACAGCATCACTAAAGAGGAGACAAGCCCCAGCTGGTCCATCTACGACAACTCCTGCACCTGAGGTTCAGACAGCATCACTGAAGAGGAGACAAGCCCCAACTGGTCCATCTATGACAACTCCTGTACCCAAGGTTCAGAGAGCATCACTGAAGAGGAGGCAGAAAGCTCATAAGAGCGAGAGTCCTAGGAAGGCTGCTGTGAGATTATGTCTAGAAATGACAGGAGAGCCTTCACCCAGGATACCTCAGTAATATGACTGCTTAAAAAAGCCCTGAAGAAGTGTAACAGCAGAAGATTTGCTAATGTGGAAGGGGGAAGTCTCAGGGGGACCCAAACCCTGGACAAGTGTTGCACAAAATCTAATTGGTCTTTAAAAAAACAAAAAACCGGAACCAAATATTGGGGTAAATGCTGAAAGATCAGAGACAAAGCAACAAGCCACTGCCATGTCTCACCTCACCAACTCCATGAATCCTCTGACTTAATGCCTGTGAGTCCTCAGCCCAAAGGCTTTAGTTCCTGCCTCCTCACGTCTTATATACCTTTCTCCGTCCAGCCATATCCCTCCCTTCTTAGTGCTGGGATTAAAGGTGTGTGACTCCCAAGTGCTGGGATTAAAGGTGTGTGACTCCCAAGTGCTGGGATTAAAGGTGTGTGACTCCCAAGTGCTGGGATTAAAGGTGTGTGACTCCCAAGTGCTGGGATTAAAGGTGTGTGCCACCACTGCCTGGCTCTGTTTCTCTCCTAGACTGAGTCAATCTCATGTAGTCCAGGGTGGCTTTGAACTCACAGAGATCTAGATGGCTCTCTGCCTCCCGAGTGCTAGGATTAAAGGTGTGTGCCACCACTGCCTGGCCTCTGTGTTTACTCTAGTGGTTTGTTCTGTTCTCTCATCTTCAGGTAAATTTTTTTTAGGGTGTAACAAAATATCACCACATACAAGAAATTAAGAAATGCTGAGAGCGGGAACAATAGTCTGTCCTGTGGCAAGTCCTCCAATTGCTCATCCAATACCAAGTGGTCAGCCCTGAAGTCGTCTATACACATACAAGTAACACTAAACAGACCGAGCAGACTGCATTTATACGTTTAGCAAGATGAGTGCACATGGGAGGGGTGGGAGGGAGAAAAGAGAGGGAGGAAAATAATGCAATTACATTTTAATCTTAAAAAACAATAAAAGCCAAAAATTCATTAATATCAAAAACGCACAAAGCACATTCTCATTGTGCTTATGGGTTTTCTTTCCATCTGTCTTCTTTGTTAACTGTTACTGGAACAGTTTCAGGCTGGGGTCTTGCCAGGTGTGTGCACAGGGTGGTCTGCGGTGTATGTGAAAGGAGGCAGAACCTTCCCTGGCTTCAGAGGTTGCCACCCAGTTAAGGGACCAAGCTGTCTTTGTGACGGTGTCTCCCCTTCCCACGCTGTCCAGATCCAGCCGGAGCTGACACCAGAGACTTCTCTCCCTGGCGGGGAGTGCCCTGTTTAGCTTTGGTGGTGGCTTGTTCTCATCTTGATGAATCAGGAAGCAAAGAAAGAGGCACCAGAAGCAGGACTAGCCTATAACCCTCTCAGAGCCTTGCCCTTAGCGGCCTACCCCTGCCCAGAGACACAGAGGGGTGGAGAATTAGGTTCTTTTTGTGCTGAGGAATGAAGCAGGGCACAGTTCCCTCCAGAACGCTGACAAAGAAGGAGAGATAGACCATCGTGTGTGCCACGCATGTGCTGACAAGATGTGTGAGCAGCACAGCTAGTTTTTAAACATGTGTTTGTCCAAACCCGTGAAGACAAACTAGGACTTGGTTCCTGAGCCATCCAAATTCCACTGCTAAATGAGACGCCTTCTTAGAGAGCAGAGCAGAGAGAGCTCGAGGGTTTGGATCTGCGTGTGTAAGTGGATCTCAGCTTCAGGGAAGTTCTTCATTAATAAGTATGTATTATGGTTCAGATATGAAGCGTCCCCCACAGTCTTGTTGGGTGTTCAGCTTTTGGTCCTCAGCTGGTGGCATGTTGGGGGGGATGTGGGGCCTGGTTGGCAGAGACAGGTTGTTAGGGGTAGGGCACTGAGGACTATAGGCTGGCCCTGCTTCTGATCCCCACTTTCTTGGCTTCCTGAGGCACCGAGATGTGGAAAAGCCCCCCCCCCCCCAAGCCTGACCCACATCCCCTGCTGTGCCTTCCCTGCCAGGATGGAGTGGTAGCTCCTAAAATTGCACATGAGAATAAACCCTTTCTCCTCTAAGTTGCTTGTAGCAGGTATTTTCACATCTGTGAGTTAAAGCAGCCCAGAGGTGGTGATCTCTAACCCAGCCTGCACACGTGTGTTAAGCCACCTATAGGACCCTACTGAACCTACATGAAAGAGCTGAAAGAAAGGGGCGTTTAACATAGTGGTTCTCAACCTGTGGGTCATGACCCCTCTGGGGGGGTCGCATATCAGATATCCTGCCTATCAGATATTTACATTACACTTCATAACAGTAGCAAAATGACAGTTATGAAGTATCGACGGGTTAATTTTATGGCTGGGAGTCACCACAACATGAGGAACTGTATTAAAGGGTATTAGGAAGGCTGAGAACCACTGATCTAATGTCTCTCAACCATGAACCAGATTTCAGATGGCTAAAATGAGGGAGGTTGGTTACCGGGAGCACTGGTTGGTGGTTGAGGTCCTGTGGATGTAATGGTAAGGCAAAGGCTTGAAGAACTCCTTCAGCGCCAGGAAGGTATTTCTGTACCGGAGATACTCCTTGTACCAATCGGCTTCCTTTGCGTTCCGACTCAGGGCAGGTATTGCAAATGCAACCTTTGGTTTCCTGACCGCTTTTTTGGCAAACATGGGCAGTTTGCAAATATGCAGTGATTCCAGCCCTGAAATGAGAACAAAACACACCCCGCTAAACATCTTCAGTAGGACAAAGACACTCGTAGGCTGAGCTGGAAAGATTACACTGGGTGCGGTAGCTGGGATATTTCTTCATCACATATAAATCCTCCTCTCCATGGACACCACCATCACTCCCGCTATGGGTACCTCTTGTCTTCTCTGAGGAACCATGGCACAGATGTCATAAACAAGGAAGATATCTAGGTCATCAACAAATACAATCCAGAGGAGTTTGTGTTTATCCTGTGCCAGGGAATGAGCCAAGTATTTAAAATATACAATCCTATTCAAATAGTACCCTCATAATGTGGCCTTTGGTATCCATGGGGTTGGAATGGAAGGTTTTATAGATATGAAGTGTCCCCTTCAAAAGGCTCATTTGTGCCAGGGTGGTGGTGGCACATGCCTCCACTGTGGAGGCAGAGGCAGGTGAATCTCTGAGTTCAAGGCCAGCCTGGTCTACAGAGCGGACCGGACAAACAGGACAGACAGACCTACCCAGAGAAACCCTGTCTTGAAAAACCAAAAAAAACCAAAACCAAAACAGGGCTCATTTGTTGAAGACTCGATCCCCAGTGCAATACTCAGAGATGAGGCTTTGGGGAGCAATCTGGATGATGAACACACTGATCTACTCAATAGATGAATTCATTGACAGATTCATAATTTGATGGTATTATTGAGAGGTAGTGGGATCTAGGAGGGAGGTCCTCAGTAGAGGAAGTAGGTCATTGGAAGAGTACCTTTCAAGGGTATATCTTATCTTTAGTCTATTCACTCATCCTTCTCCCCTCCTCTAGCTCTTGTCTACCTTAGATTGAGCATCTTCCCTCTGCCACGCCCATGGCTGAGCCTTCTGCCTCATCACCTTAGGCCCATAGCAGGTTATATGCAGGAAGATATATGTATATACATATAAATATATGCATGTAACAACAATTAATGAAAAAAGGGGCCATGAATTTGAAAGAGTAAGAGGGGTATATAAGACAGGAAAGGGAAGGAGAAAGGATGATTATATTATAATCTCGAAAAGAAAAGAAACAAACTTTTGTAAAGTATTGGACTTCCACGGCACACTGGGTAAATCCACTAGGCTGGGTGTAGGTAGAAGCAACTGTCCCAGCGACTCCAGCATGCCAGCCCAGTGAGCTCCCCTGAGGACAATTTGCATTTTTCAGTTTCTGTGTAAAACATCTGTTGCAAAGCCTTTGGAAAGCTCTGCTGTGTGTGATAGGATGTCGCAAAGGAATCCCTCGGATGGAGAAAGATGCCTTCGATTTGACATAGAAGTAATGCTCGCTCCATCCCTGTGGATTTCCTTACTTGATAAGTTGTACCCCAAAGTCAATGTGCATGGTCCTTTCGTGCCCGCAGACAGGTGCAGAGTGTCAAAGAATTTGAGTTGTCTGTGATGTGTAGTCCCAGGTGAGCTCAAGCAAAGTTATATTTTGCTTTATTTTTTTTCATTTCAGATTTCATATTGTAAATAACTGTCTATGGACTATTGAGTGTCATGTGCTTAGCAATTTCTTGGCTTTCTTTCTTATAACCCTGCTGTCGAAAGTGACTGTAGTTGGAACTGAAGTGTTGTCGAGAGCCCCTGAGCTCAAAAAGGTTCTGAGGTGAGTTACAAAGAAAACATATGTAGAGCAGGCTTCACTCAGGCGTGCTGTTGACCCTGAGAACATAGTGAAAAATCTTACCAGACAGAAATACACATAAAATGAGATTATAGAGCCTGGGCTGGGTGGTGGTAGCACACACCTTTGATCCCAGCACTCGGGAGGCAGAGCCAGGCGGATCTCTGTGAGTTAGAGGACCACCTGGTCTACAGAGTGAGTTCCAGCACAGCCAGGGCTGCTACAGAGAGAAACAGAGAAATCTCAACAAACAAACAAAGAAACAAACAAAAAGATTATAGAGACTGATAAGAGCACTGTGACCAAAGCTTGCAGGAAGCACAAGTGTGCTCCCCTGGATGAATTCTACTCTCTTAGCCCATGAGCTCAAATCAATTCTCCCTCCCAATCATTCTTATTATCAGGCATTTGTTATGGTGACAAGAAAAGTAATTAATACAGAAAACTGACACTGAGAAGTGGGACTATCACTGTGAGTCCCTGACCGTGTGGTTTAGATACATCATGGGAAAGCAGTGTAATGGGAAAGGAATAAGCAAGTTAAACATTGCAGATGAGGTATGTGTAAAGGAAGCTGCTATAATTTTAAAACAAATAAGTGCTACTACAGAGAGATTTGGGACTTTGCACGAAACAAGGAAAGGTACCTCGACCTCGCCCATCAAAGATTCAGCTTGTTAAATGCAAATCCCTTTGCAAGGAGTGAAACTGAAGGTGAGAGAGAGGTGTCTTCCCAGATTCATCCATTCAGGGGCACAGACGCCTCTACAGCTGTGGTAAAGGTGATCAGAAAATGTCTTGGGCTAGCAGAACAACTTGGTGGCATCATCTATATGGTACTGTGTGGTGATGTATTGTGTCCCCCAATATACTGTGTCCCCCAATAAAATTTATCTGAGGATCAGAAGGAAAAGTCAGTCACTATAGTAAATGCTGAAGTCAGGCAGTGGTAGCACACGCCTTTAATCCTATCACTTGGGAGGCAGGGATCTGTCTGGATCTCTGTGGGTTCAAGGCCACACTGGGAACAGAGCCAGGCATGGTGATACACGCCTTTAATCCCAGCACTAACCATAGAGGTCTGGAGTCTGTACAGACAGACTGGAAGTGACAGAGCTGGGCAGGAAGAGGAAGTGATATAGCTGGGCTGAGAGAGCGAATGAGGGAACAGAAAAGAAAGGCAAATAGGTGTGGGTAGACAGGAAGTAGCTCTCTTTGGAAGCTGCAGAGTTGGTGAGGTGAGGTTAGCTGTGGCCTTTCCTATTCCTCTGATCTCTCAGGTTTCAAACCCCAATATCTGGCTCCAGATTTTTATTTAATAAGACCATTTAGCAATTTGTGTTACTGTACTGATTTTATAGGCATGTATAATGCAGCTGTGAAACTTCGCACTAAGGTCCCTTCACAAAGCTGAGGAGGCCAGGCACTATGCGGTGGGGCTAAATTCCCCTCAAAGACTGGCAAGAAGCTATGAAAAGAGTGCCTAAGCTTCAGGGAATGCTCCCATATGTTGGAGGTATTGTAGAATATTATCTTAAGGTGTGTTACTTTTGTTTATGTTGCATTTGTTTAACTCTGTAAAGCTGTGTTACTGTGACTGTCTAAAACACCTGATGGTCTAATAAAGAACTGAATGCCCACTAGGGAGGCAGGATAAAGGATAGGTGGGGCTGGCAGACAGAGAGAGTATATAGAGAAAGAAAAAGAGATGGAGGAGTGAAGAAGGAGGAGCCAGAGAAGGAGGAAGATCTAGGGTCCAGTCACCCAGCTACAAAGCAAGCCAAAGAGTAAGAGTAAAATTTACAGAAGTAAGAGAATGGGAAAAGGCCAGAGGCAAAAGGTAGGTGGGGATAATTAAAGTTAAGAAAAGCTGGCTAGAAACAAACCAGGCTAAGGCCAGGCATTCATAAGTAAGAATAAGCCTCTATGTGTGATTTATTTGGGAGCTAGGTGGTGGGCCCCCCAAAAAGAGCCAAAACACAACCTACAACAGGAGGTGCCTGGACCATCAGATGTCTAGCAAGAAAAGCTACTGGCACTGAGAGGATCCGTACTGAGAGGTTATGTGTGCTCAGGCAGGAGAATTGAAGGGACAGAACCACTCAAGTCTGGTGGAGCCCAGATGATACCACAAAGAGCCTCAGATACTGTAGGTGGAGCTGCAGGATTTGATGTTTGCCCTGTTGGGTTTTTATAATGCTTTAGTCTAGGCTATGTTGCCATTCTTTCTTTTTGAAATGGAAGTGCTTACCATATGTCACTGTTTAGAGATGTGTGCAATGTGTTTTTTTTTTTAATTTCATAAGGACTCTGTTAAGAGATCATCTTGGATCTCAGCAGAGATTTTGGCTTTTGGGACAATGTTGAAACTGTTAAGACTTTGGGCTCTTAAAGATGAACTAAGTGCATTTTGCATTAAGAAATTACTGTGAGCCTTTGAGGACCAGGGTTAGAATGTTAGGATGTCAAGCTGACAAAGGATGGACAGTCATGGGGTGATTAATCTTCATTGTTAACGTGACTGGATTTGGAATTACCCAGAAAACACACCTCTGGGCATTCTTTACACATGATCTCAGCCAAAGACTAAGAAATCACTTATATGTCTTTGAAGACATTTCCAGTGAGGTTTAGCTGAAGACGAAAGGCCTATGCTGAATATAGGTGATTCCATAAAAAGGAAAAACAGAGGAAACCAGCTAAGTGCTAACATCCCCACTTTTTATGTCCTTTCCATTGAGATGTCAGGAGCCCCAGCCATGACGTCTTGCTATGCTGAGCTCTTCCACACCTTCCCCCTCATGATGGACTCAAATGTCTCAAACCATGGGCCAAGGTAAATCCTTCCTATGACTTGTTATTTATTAGGTATTTGGTCACAGAGATAAGAAAAGTAACCAACACACTAACCTAGTATTTGTGGAGAAGACAGAACCCAACTTCCATGAATAATGAGAAGAAACTATGTTTCGTCATCACCAGCCAAGAACTAAGATTGTTTTAGGTTCTGTAATCAACACCAGCCATGAGTTGATGCGCATTCAATAGAGGATTTGAGCATGAGACCCCTCTCAACACAAGTGATCAAATGAGGAGACTAAGGATTGGACTTGATGGTGTGAGAGGAGTTTCTCATCAAAACAATAAATATAAGGGCTGGAGATATGGTTCAGCTAGTAAAGGCTAGGCTCACAACCAATGATATATAAAAAAATAAATAAAAATAAAATTGAAAGTTCCTTTCCTTATGGAAACACAGCAGTGGCCAAATGGATTGCCTTCTCCCAAAAAAGTAAACAAAATCAAAAGTCATGTTGTGTGTTCCTGCTGCAGCCCTTCACCAGGGTCCATGATAAGAAGTTGTATAACAGGGCTTCACAGTTATAAACCTGCAACCTTGGAACCTCGGTGGGGGCAGGTGTTTAAATATCGGTTTTCTAGAAATCAGAACTGTGAAGTTGGTCATGTAGAGCAATGGATTGTGGAGCAATGGGTTGTGGAGCAGGGATTGCAGAGCAGTGGATTCCAAGGCTTACCCAATGTGGATCTGTAGTAATTCAGCCAGTGAAGGAGGATGTGTTTAACCTTCTTCTGCATTTTGCTTAGTTTGATGGATGCCACAAGGTCATGCAGAAGGCTTATGTCCGTTCCTGGATCATCAGAGTCTGTGTCCACTGGGTCTGCTAAATTTGAAGCCTTTAAATGAGAAGATGAATATATACATCAATATCCTTGGTATACACACACATATATGAGGGAGACTGCTTGCTGCGTGGCCAGCAAACATCAATCCTTCATCCTCATGTACCCATTCACCCATTAATCAGACCACCCAACAAGTATTTATTAAGTACTATCTATAGCCTGACAATGTGCAAGAAACTTAGACTAAAGTCATACATAATAGCCATATTCTTTTGTGACCATACTTAACGCCACTGAAATACATACTTACAAAGGCTATGGTATCATAATAAACTAAGAGAGAAAAGGCCATTTCCCTATCCTCTAGGAGTTCACAGTCAGTGGAAAACCTCAACAGGCTGGCAATCACAGTACAGCAGAGACCAGGTTAGACCATGAGTTATAAGTAGAAAGTCTAATGTTTAAGTGCACTAACTTTTACTTAGCAGCAGCAAAAGTTATAAATATTCATTAACTATATGTAATTATTCATTTATATGTAAAGGTACACTTAATTCTCTATTTATTCTCCATTTTTGTGCACTATTCAAAGCCAGATGAAGATGGGCACAGAGCAGGGGGAATGTGAAGGGAGAGAGGAGTCAGTGAGCCACACAGAGGCTGATGAAGTAGGCAGGGAGCATTCTGAAGAATTTATTCCATAGAAATCGGGCAATAAAGCTGACACTTCAGTTTGAAAACTCAACTCCATCTGAAAGGCACAGACTTGAACTTCCTTGTTGTAATGATTCCAAAAAGGACTTAAAGCAACATCAGTGGCCTTGATATAATCACCTAAAAACAGGAGTTTTACCATCTAATCTCAACCTCAAAAATGGGAAAATAAAGATGAAGTATATTTATCTCATGATACTGAAGCTTTAATGTGTATGAATGTATTATCTGTCACAAGACCATCTTTTATATTTGTTATATTGGAAATCTGAAGATTTTCTATGTTCATTTTTTAGATTTATCTTGTTACCTTATGTGGAAGAGTGTTTTGCTGTGTATATGTTTGCCTACCATAAAAAGCCTGCAGAGGTCAGAGAGGGGGTCAGATCCCCTGGATGTGGAGTTATGGATGGTTGAGAGCTACCATGTGGTTACTGGGAGCCACACTCTGGTTCTCTGCAAGAGCAACAAGTGTTCTTAACAGCAGGATTCTCTCTCAACCCAGGAAATCTGAAGGTTTGATCAGTTAAGAAAACCTAAAGCCAGGCATTGTGGCTCACACCTTTAATCCCAGCACTCGGGAGGCAGAGGCAGCCTGATCTCTGTGAGTTCAAGGTCAGTCTAGTCTACAGAGAGTTCTAGGACAGCCAAGGCTACACAAAGAAATCTTGTCTAGAAAAACTAAAAAAGAAAACCTTAGATATCCCACCTTGAGTTTTCCATTTATGTTGAACACATTGATATAGACTTGTGACAATTAATTTTAAAAGTTTTAGATAAAGCGACTAAGTTCAAACATAATTGAAATATGTGAGAGAACTTGAGAATCCCTTAATTTAATTTATGTGCTATGTAAATGTTAAGAACCTGAGAATATTTTGCTTGCTATGGTTATAAATATGCATTTGAAGTACTTAAATAAAAATAAACTTTAAAACTATAAATATACTTCAAAATATGTAAAATTTTGTTCATTAAATTGTATGGGAGTCTAATTATCAAGTATAATCAGCTCAATTTGAGTCAATCAATGAGAAGACAGAAACAATGGTTATCTTAGTGGATATTATTAGTGGAATAAGTATATTTTAAATGGCCTTTTTTTTGAAACAGAGTTTCTCTGTGTAGCTTTGGCTGTCCTTTGTAGACCAGTCTGGCCTCAAACTCACAGAGATCCACCTGCCTCTGCCTCCCAAGTGCTGGGATTAAAGGCGTGTTCCACCACTGCCTAGCACCCTGAAATGTTTTAACAAATTTTTAGAAATTGTTTTGAGATTGAGTCTCTCAGCTAGAGATTGCTCTCTCATAACATTTCTGTTCCAGCCTCTCACGTGCCAGAATTAAAGCCATGAACCACAACCCCTGGCAAAAACTGGGTTTTTAATGGGTAGCTCTAAAATATTAATTTTAAACTCAAATCAAATACTGTTTTTCTAGACACAAAAACCTCTTGGAACTGAAAAAAAAACCCCTCATACCGGCAGCTTCAAATCTTTTCTTTCATCCCCTCACTTCTCTTTACTGAGATGGTTAATATAACATCAGTGAATTTCTTCAGAAGTCTCCCTCCCTCCCTCCATCCATCCACCATTAATCTGTTCACTCTTCCCTCCCTCCCTCCATCTATTCATCTATTCACTCTTCCCTCCCTCCATCTGTTCATCTATTCACTCTTCCCTCCCTCCATCTGTTCATCTATTCACTCTTCCCTCCCTCCATCCATCCACCCATTCACTATTTACTCTTCCTTCCCTCCTTCCCTCCCTCCCTCCCTCCATCCATCCACCCATTCATCTATTCACTCTTACCTCCCTCCCTCCATCCACCCATTCACTATTCACTCTTCCCTCCCTCCCTCCACCCACCCATTCATCTGTTCACTCTTCCCTCTCTCCATCCATTCATTCATCTATTCACTCTTCCCACCCTCCCTCCATCCATTCATCTGTTCACTCTTCCCTCCCTCCATCCATTCATCTGTTCACTCTTCCCTCCCTCCATCCATTCATCTGTTCACTCTTCCCTCCCTCCATCCATCCATTCATCTGTTCACTCTTCCCTCCCTCCATCCATCCATTCATCTGTTCACTCTTCCCTCCCTCCACCCACCCATTCATCTGTTCACTCTTCCCTCTCTCCATCCATCCATTCATCTGTTCACTCTTCCCTCTCTCCACCCACCCATTCATCTGTTCACTCTTCCCTCCCTCCATCCATCCATTCATCTGTTCACTCTTCCCTCCCTCCATCCATCCATTCATCTGTTCACTCTTCCCTCTCTCCATCCATCCATTCATCTGTTCACTCTTCCCTCTCTCCCCCTCTTTTAGAAGCCTTTTTTTTTTTACTTTTTTTGAGATTATAATTAATTTCTCCCTTCCCTTTCCTCTCTCCAAACCCTCCACAGCATAGGTTGATGGAAAATTCTCTCAGACTTGCTAAAAACACAACTTGCTAGCAAAGACACTGAATGGAATTGACAACATGTGATAGGCCTGAGCACCATGTGTGGGAAATAAACTTTGGGAAAGGCAGAGGCAAATGAGAGAGTGTGGTTTTCTTCTTTTTCAAAGGATCAGTAGGCACAAGTTAAAAAGCCCAGAGAAGTAACACATGAACACCAAAAATTCCCAAACACATGTCTGTCCACAGGCACACAGACTGGGTAGGAACTGTCTCTGTGATTCATACAGTTAACACCTTGAACAGGATAAGTGTGCTTGAAAAAGCGTGATGCCTGGGAATCTAATTCAGTGGTGCATCGCCTGCCTAGCATGTGCCAGGCTCCGGATTGCCAGCACTGCAAAAATATGAAAGAATGAACGAAAGAAAAAAAAACAAAGAGGAAAATCTGCCATTCCTGTACCTGAACCACCACAAAGAGCAAGTCTCTCGTTGGTGTCGGCCGATATGGAGCAAAATGCCGTCCTTCGCTCTGGTGCTGCTGATGTGTGCAGCTAGCGTGTGAACTTCCTCTCTTTGCTCGACAAGTCACTGAATCTGTGCTCTTACTAGAATTCTTTTTAGGCATGACAACTTTTTTTTGTTGTAATTTATATTCAATACACAAGATCCTTTAAGGTGACCATTGGATGGATTTGGGCCCCGTGAAGGTACACTCTCTAGTCAAGATGTAGGATCAAATTTTCCTCTTCCTCTTTGTGAGCATTCCCCACTCTGCCCAGAGGTCTTTTCTAGGGTCCCACACAATTGGAATCGCACCTTGTTTACTCTTCCATGTCTGACTTTTCTTGCTTAGCTGGACGTTTCGGATATTCATCCTGTGGCTATCTCTGTACAACCCAACCTCTCCTCCAACTCGCCATACTCCAGCGTTCGCCTCTGAAGTGCTGGGATTACGGGAGGAAGCCACCATGCCTGGAGGACGTCATTTGTTTCAGCACCTCAGAAGCCCTTCTTACCAGGGCTTCTGTACTAAAAAGTGATCATGTCTTTTTATCTAGTCACCAACTGATGGGCAGTAGTACAGGATTCTGTACTAATAGTACTAACATTCACAAAGATCTCTTTCTTTCTTATTTTTAAAATTAACATATTCATTTGATGCTGGAGAGACAGCTCAGCAGTTCGAACACTTGCTACTCTTGCTGAGGACCCATGTTTGGTTCCCAGGAACCACATCTACACGGAGGCTCACAACTGTCTATTGTAACTCTAGTTCTGAGGGATTCAATACCTTCTTCTTGCCTCCACAGGCACCAAGCACACACATTGTGCGTGTGTGTGTGTGTGTGTGTGTGTGTGTGTGTGTGTGTGTGTGCATGCATGTAAGCAAATCTTATAAGTAATATATTCAATATGAAATATTAGATATGCATCCTTTCAGTCTTTTAAAATAGATATGTAAGACTTTTTTCATGGAAATGAATATGCTGCATTATCAGGACTTTACTTCCCCCAAAGTTTAAAATTCTATGAGTATGAAAGGGCCTTAGATTCTAAGGCCCTACCTATGAGAAAGAAGCAACTATTAGCATGCTTCAGTTCATTCATAAATAAACACCATTCCCAGTTTCAGTTCATTCATAAATAAAATGAACATCATTCCTAGCTTCAGTTCATTCATAAATAAAATGATCATCACTCTTCGTCATGATTTATATTAACCAGAAGCTTACCCACCCAAGCTTCTTTGGCAACTTGAACACAACCCAGCTGTAGGTGGGAGGAGCTACAGATGCCTGGGCCAATCAGAAAGCATGAACGCTGTACCAATCAGAAAGCAGGAACCCTGGACCAATCAGAAACCATGAACCCTGGGCCAATCAGAAAGCATGAACTGACTGTTCCCCATCTGAGACAGAGACCATCAAAGACTCACTGGCTTTCTCAAACAACCCGAGTCTATGTTGGAACTGAAAGTAACTAGAATAGTGTGAAAAATAAAAGCCATCCCCACCTCAGCCGCCAGATGGGAATAGTGAATACTTGGCACTCACATCTTTGTTCTGGGCCATGAACTTCAGCAGCCTGCACTTCGTTTTGTAGGTCGCCAACATTTCCTTAGCATCTCGGGTAGAGGGGTGGATATCAGGGAACATCTGGGAGAGGGTAAAGCTTTATTCAGAAGTCATAGCTAATGAAACCCAGGGAAGCAAGATAGCTTGGCATAAAGGCATTCACGGTTATAAAGAAATTCATACAAATCCAGGGTGTTCAACATGTTTGTAGCAATTCTACAAAGTAAAAAGTAACTTATATACATGTTCATATGCTTTCTTTAATAACTGTACCATTCACATAAATACACTCCAGATTTTTCAAGTTTCTGAAGTTTGATCAAAATCCAGCCAAGCTCAAGACTTAGCTGCATGAAAACAGAAACATATTTTCCTTTTCAGGCAAAGTCTCCTTAATGCATCTGAGGTTGGTCTCACTGTGCAGATCAGGCTGTCCTGGAACCCATAATCTTCCTGCCTCAGCCTCCTGAGTACTGAATTTAAAAGGCACACCCCACTAAATCTGGTTAAATGTCTAAGACAGTGGCTCTCAGCCTTCCTAATGCTGGGACCCTTTAATATAGTTCCTCATGCTGTGGTGACCCCCAGTCATAAAATTATTCTTATTGCCACTTCATAACTGTCATTTTGCTACTGTTATGGATTATAATGCAAATGTCTAATATGCGACCCACAGGTTGAGAACCCGTTGTCTAAGGTGACTAAGAGACCTCTGGCCCACCTTATTAGGTAAACGTGGAGGCTTGTGTTTCACAGGCGCCAGTGACAGCTTCAGGCTTTGTGGATGCCGTTTGTACATCAAGGTGATGGCGAAGCGCCCCGAAATAGTCACAGTGATATATTGATTTACCTGGAAGCAACAGAAAGGGGATCGTTTGGGGGCATAGAATCTCCTTTTACAAGTCAAGTGCAAGTTGAGGAAATGAGGAACAGGCATTCACAGGCAGCTTCCACCTACATGTCAGAAACTTAAGAGTCGGGTTTGGGGGTTTTGTGTTGCTCACTTACGGAAAGAGGGTGAATGGGCAGAAATTATTTTGCAAGGCATGCAGTCGTATCTTAAAAGAAGATGGGGTCCACTTTAGATTGAGAAAATCCTATGTCAATTGGGTCCTTCTGAGGTCTCATTCTGCCTCAGGACATAGCAGCCTCTCCCTGCATGATATGCTTGGTAGATGCCCTTTAGCGCCAAGAAATGCCATTAATGATTGCCAAGGATTTGCACATTTTAGAAGCCTTAATGTTGCTGTTAAAGTGGGAGGGGTTTTTAATAAAGGATAAGAATGGGAAAGCAGCGATTACAAAATGATTGTGGGGTTAAGAATGAAGCTCAGGCCGGGCGGTGGTGGCGCATGCCTTTAATCCCAGCACTCGGGAGGCAGAGGCAGGCGGATCTCTGTGAGTTCGAGGCCAGCCTGGTCTCCAAAGCGAGTTCCAGGAAAGGCGCAAAGCTACACAGAGAAACCCTGTCTCGAAAACAAACAAACAAAAAAACAAACAAACAAACAAAAAGAATGAAGCTCAGTAGAGTGTGCTGGTCAGCACACACACACACACACACACACACACACACACACACACACACATGCGCGCGCGCACACACACGCATGCACACACGTGCACACACACGCGCACGCACACACACTCTGTGGATACAGCATCCTAATGAAGTCTGTAAGGACTCTTGCTTGAGGTACAAGTTGCCCTCATCCGCTCTCTGAAGGCACCAGCTGAGGTAATCCAAAATAAATAATCTCTCTGACTGTTTTTGTAGGCAAAAGATGAGGAGATCCTGATGTCGGAATGTCAAGAAATTCACACACGGGATCTTGCCTGGTAGTTTCTTGATGTTCTCTTTGCTTCCCTATCCCTCCAGACACGGACATCACTTCTTTAAGATGTACCATCTGAAGAGGGGATACGGGGCGTGCGATTTTGTAAGTCGTGTGGAAAGACAGAAACATTACTTCCCATGCAGATGTTCACAATGGGGCTATTCATAGGAAATGCGAGGTAAGCCACAGGTGTGAACCAGGGAGTGACTGTTTTTTTAATTGCTAGTAGACATGTTAAAAAGAGTAGAATGTGCCGGGCGGTGGTGGCGCACGCCTTTAATCCCAGCACTCGGGAGGCAGAGCCAGGCGGATCTCTGTGAGTTCGAGGCCAGCCTGGGCTACCAAGTGAGTTCCAGGAAAAGGCGCAAAGCTAAACAGAGAAACCCTGTCTCGAAAAACCAAAAAAAAAAAAAAAAAAAAAGAGTAGAATGCAAGAGGGGTTACTTTGAGAACATAGTTTATAATAAACATCTCCACGTGTGGTGGTCAGAGACTGACCTTCAGGATTGGCTCTTTTCCACCTTCTACCAAGTAGGTCCTGAGTTGTCAACTCTGGTCATCAGCCTTGGCAACAGGCATCTCTAGCTACTGAGGCATTTCCCTGGTTGGTCCATAAACTTACTAAGACACCTTCCTTGCATTCTCTTTTTCTGTGAAGTCTTGGAAATCTGACGTGTGGACTTGCAAACTATTTTGAGGTTCAAGAATCAAAAGTGGCGTTGTGGCTACCTGGACATCACAGTTCTCTACAAATGTACCCTGACAGTTACCTGTGCAGTGTACCACCTAAACAACCAGACACAGTGGCCCTGTCTTATTGCGGCCTGTTTAGTTTACAAACACACACAAAAGGTAACTTTATGTGACCCTAGGAAGCTGGCACCACAGTCACAGAATGACCACTCAGAAGCACTCAGTGAGTGCTTACAAAGTTTAGATCATTTGTTAACTTTCAAATGGCAGAATACATGCATACAAAGTTCAATTTCTCAGCTTTTCCCCCTTTTTAATTGTAAAATAGTAACTCAGTCTCATGTCCTTGGGTGGCAATAGTCTTCTGGCCTGGAGTCAAACTTGCCCCCTTTTCAGTTATAACAGGGCTCACACAACAATACCAGGCATGCTGGCACATGCTTGTATTCCCGGCACTGGGAGGCAGAGACAGGGTCCCTGAGCATCACCAGCCAGACAATTTATCCTAATTACAATCTATCCTAAGTTGCAGGTCAATGAGAGATCTCATCTCAAAGGAGGTGGATGGTGTTCCTCATGGCCTCTATATTCACGTACACCTGCTCACACATGTGCCCTCTTACACCTATGAGCATACACAAACACACACACACACACACATTTGAAAAAGAATAACAAGTTCCAAAATAATACCCCGATTTCAATTGGATCTTCAATCTTTCCCTTGGAAGGCCACATCCATTCTCGTACGATGTTTCCTTTCTTGCTGATCAGCATGCCTCCATCCTGATTAAACATCATGGCTATGACTTTCCTATGACAAACACAGAGATAGGGCTAATTTAGAACAAGGAAATAAATCTTCACAGATTTATTGATTTAGCTAAGGTGATGGAAGCCACCGAGATGTAGCCTTAAAGAGCAAAAGAACCCTTTTGCTGGGAGACGGTCACTCTACTTCTGCCCCAGTGCTTCTTGGGAGCCAAGAGTACTCAGTTGATTCAGATGACCCATTTAGGATGCGTGTCCTTTTCCATCCATCACTCCCACAAGGGAACAAATATGAACTGTGCTAGCCTCTATCATATCATGTTATGGTGATATTTTATTTGTACTGAAATGTGATTTTATTTGTATGTTAATAAATAAAGTTGCCTGGGGGTCAGAGCTAATAGCAAGCCATAGCAGAAACTGGGCGGTGGTGGCATACACCTTTAATCCTGATCACATGACAGGCAGATCTCTGTGTGTTCAAGGATACAGCCAGCATGGAGACACACGCCTTTAATCTCATTACCAACCATAGAGACCTGGCGGTCTGTATAGACAGGCAGTGACAAGGAGGTCATGTGGTTGGGTTTACAACCAATAAGAAGGCAGAACAGAAAGTCAATAAAAAGACAGACACATAGGAAGTAGGCCTCTTTCTGAGGGGAAGGACGGCAGCAGCAGGAAGGGTAAGAAGGCAGTTTTAAGTCTCAGCTCTTAGCTACTGCTCTGACCTCTTGGGCTTTTAACTCTGCATTTGGTTCTGTTTCTTATTTAATAAGACCATGTGACCACGATTCTTTGACTATGGCTGACTGAATCGGACATGGGCATCTGACCCCAAAGATTCACAGATGCATTCAGGGGTAAGGAAAACAAAACCAGAAAACTAGTGTGACTAGCGTGGATTCTGGAGCGATGGGCAGCCTTGGGCCAGATGTGCTGGAATCCCAAGCTATCCTAACTCCACCTTCAAGAACAATGAGACATCAAAGCTTTTTAACAACAAATCGCGCACGTGATTAGATGGGCGGGTGCAAGGCAGGTCTACACTGGCAGGCTTAGAAGGTCGGACTTGTTCAATGATTCAGGAGAGATGATGATAATAGCTTGGACTAGGATATAGGTGAGAGAGAGAGAGACATGGGCATGGATTCAAGAGCTCTCTAGAACAGTGGTTCTCAGCCTTCCTAATGCTGCGACCCTTTAATACAGCTCCTCATGCGGTGCTGACCCCCAACCATAAAATTATTTTCGTTGCTACTTCATAACTGTAACTTTGCTACTGTTGTGAATCGTAGTGTAAATATCTGATATGCATGATATCTGATATGTGACCCCTGGTAAAAGGTCATTCGACCCCCAAAGGGGTCATGACCGCTGACCTAAGGGCTGCTGACAAGGCTCAGCAGACAAATGTGTTTGTTGTGTAAGCCTGATTAAGTGAGTTAGATTCCCAGAACCCACATAAAGGTGGAAGGAGAAAAACCCCTCCACAAAATTGTCCTCTGACCTCCACATGTGTACCACGGCACATGTGTGTCCCCCATCATCCACACACAAAATAGTAAATAAAAATTTAACATACAATAATAATAATACATATATACGAATACCAATATACTGCCAACACCCCCATCATAATGGGTTTTCTCACTGAGAAGTAGTCAACAGTAAATGCTGAGAGCTACAGCAACCTCTAGAGCAAGCATTTGCAATATGAAGGTATTAGGGAATATTATTTTAAGGTGTGTTACTTTTGTTTATGTTGCATTTGTTTAACTCTGTGAAGCTGTGTTACTGTGCCTGTCTAAAAGACCTGGTAATCTAATAAAGAACTGAACAGCCAATAGCAAAGCAGGAGAAAGGATAGGCAGGGCTGGCAGGCAGAGAGAATATATAGAAGGAGAAAACTGGGGGGAGAGAGAAGAAAAGAGATGGAGGAGTAAGAAAAGGAAGGAGCCAGAGAAGGAGGAGGACTCCAGGGGCCAGCCACCCAGCTACACAGCAAGCCATGGAGTAAGAGCAAGATTCACAGAAATAAGAGAACAGGAAAAGCCCAGAGGCAAAATGTAGACAGGATAATTTAAGATAAGGAAAGCTGGTGAGAAACAAGCCAAGCTAGGGCTGGACATTTATAATTAAGAATAAGCCCCTGTGTGTGATTTATTTGGGAGCTGGGTGGCAGCCCCTCAAAAGAGCCCAGAGAGTAAAAACCAATACCATCATGAAGGAACAGTAAAGAATTCATAGGAGGGAGCTAGAGAGATGGTCTCAGGTATTCCATTCTGGGACAGAAAGTACATGAATGCGGTAATGTAAATAGACTTCGGTGTCTGAACTTTGGGAATAGTTGCAGGTGACGGATATGATACCTAAAATAATAGAAGGTGGCCAGTCTAGGTTGGATCAGCATAGCATACAGAGTTAAGAGAATATAAAACTATCTGGGCCAGCACCAGGCGGGAGAAAATAACCAAGCCTTACAAGTTTTCATCAATACCCTTGGGTGGCAAACTAATGCTCATCCATCTGTTATGTGTTTGCACATCTCAAGGTAATGGGAAACGATTGATCAAAATAGAACCAAAGGTGGAAAGACCCAAAGGAGAGAGACATTTCTCTCATAGCTGATTGGGAAAAAAATAAAGGCAAAATCGTACACTGTCTCAAGAGAACACGTGTCTCTTTCTCCATGCTCTGAAGGTAGATGTGGCCACGTGCCTTGCCCTATTTGATCAGCAGCTTGAAAGCACTCAGTGGGGCTCTCCTTCATTCTTGCCGCTTGGCAACCCAGCCATCACATGAAGCAGCTTGAACTGGCCTGCAAGATGCACAGCCAGGTTGCCTCCAAGCTCCGGCAGACAGCCAGATACGTAAGTCATCTAGCTTCCAAGGCCAGGCTCATAATTCCAGTGTCACCATTACCATGACTCACGGTGACTCATCTAGTGTGGACTCAGCTCTCGCCCTTCCTTCTCTCAACCTATTAAGGGTTGGAAAGGGTGGGGGAGAGCCCTGGATTAAAGGCTAAAAACTTTCGATGCTCTTCTGTAACTATGTGGACTTGGAAAAGTTATTCATCTTGCATAAGCCTTGGTTCTCTTTGATGAGAATTATGCTTAAATCATAGGTTTCCTGGGAAAATTAAATAAAATCTAGAATGCTCTTTCTAGTTAACCCACTCCCCCCAACACACACACACACACACACACACACACACACACACACACACACACACACACACACACACAGCAATACTTGGAAATTCTGGCCTGGTGGCACAAACTGGTAATTCTAACACTTAAGTTGAAGCTGGGGGCTGGAGAGATGGCTCAGAGGTTAAGAGCACTGACTGCTCTTCCAGAGGTCCTGAGTTCAATTCCCAGCACCCACATGGTGGCTCACAACCATCTATAATGAGATCTGGCGCCTTCTTCTGTATACATAATAAATAAATAAATCTTTTAAAAAAAAAGTTGAAGCTGGAGGTTCACAAAGTTTGAAGACAACCTGGCCCTATACAAAGAGTTTGAGATCAGCCCCCGTTACATAGTGAGACCCTTCCTCAAAAAAAAAAAAAAAAAAAAAAACAACCCACCGCCAACAACTCTCAAAAAATCCAGTGAAATACATTTATTCTTGGAGAAGCAATTATTACTTCTCTGTTCTTTCTACAGTGTCCTGGAACGAGATGTTCAATTAAAATGCCAGAAAATTGCATCATGCTTCCTAATCTTTCCTTCCCAACTTTTAAACTAGCATTGTTGAGAGGCGGAACGACCTTTTGAAAGAGCTTCCTCAGCCTTTGAAATGACTCCAGGTCCCGTGCCCTTCAATTCATCTCAGCATCAAAGCTGGGACAGGCCCTTCCACACCGAGGGCGGGTGTTTAGTGTGACGCGCGCAGCCACTTTGTGAGCCTGTTAATCCGTCTCCTTCTAGGTATTTGTGTCTTCAGAATCGAGCCTTAGTCTTCTGCGTCTTTAGGGTTTTTTTTTGCTGACCTGTCTTGTCTTCGCTGGCGAGCTGGCAGCTGACTTGGCTCACGGAAACAACCTGGAAGGGAAGCTGTGTAAAGGGGCTTCACCGGAAGTGCGGTCAGCGTGCAGGAAGTGCTGAATGCAGGCGAAGCCCAGGAATGCACATTTACAACCTTGCTAAGGAAGGAAGGCTCTTGCGCCCATGGCTTGATTCTCAGTTCGCATCATGCTTCCTAATCGTTCCTTCCAAACTCTTTTTTTTAAAGATTTATTTATTATGTATACAGTGTCCTGCCTGCATGTATGCCCGCTGACAGAAGAGGGCACCAGATCTCATTCCAGATGGTTGTGAGCCACCATGTGGATGCTGGGAATTGAACTCAGGGCCTCTGGAAGAGCAGCCGGTGCTCTTAACCTCTGAGCCATCTCTCCAGCCCTCTTCCAAACTTTTTTTAAGAGATGAAACTACCATCATCTGGAAGCTAGGAGAATTAAAAAATATAGGGGATGGGAAGATGTGTGATTGGAGCTAATATGAAATGTGAACTCCAGCAAAGGTGGAGGTCAAAGCAATCCCCAGGGTGCCTTGCTTCATCGGGAGGTGGCCTTATGAGTCAATTGTGATGCTGGTTTCTTCCTAGAACTCTAACAGCCAGGAAACATTCTCCTAAATCCACATCCAAACTTGTTGTGTTGCTCTGTCTGCCTGTCTGTTTGTCTGTCTGTCTATCTATCTATGCAGCACTTTGTTACTAGTTTTCCATCTAAGGTGGAAACATCTAACTGTGTCACTAACTGAACTTGAGTGTGTGGAAAAGCAGCAGGTACAAGTATGTGGAAAAATAACACTCCACAGAGACACAGCAGTTATAGTGAGTCGAGTACTAGCTTCCTCCAACTCAAGTCCCCTGAGCCTCAGGATGTGACCTTATTTGAAAAATGGGTCCTTTGCAAATGTAATCAGTTAAGAGCCTCAGGAGGAAATCATCCTGGGTTTATAGTGGGTGCTGAAGCTAATCCTGATGTCCGTGAATGAAGAGGAGCTGGGCACAGAGAAAGAGAGA